TGAAAGTAATTGTCAAAAAAGAAGAAAAAAAATAACACACACACACACACACACACACACACACACACACATATATATATATTTTATTATTTTTTATTTCTTAATGGTATTTACAACTGTATTAAAGAAATACATTTAGTAAATTTAAACATATGGATCTGCAGGTGTTTCTCAAGGTAGTATCCTAGGTCCTATCCTTTACACAGTTTATACAGCTGACATCCCAACCAGTCCCAACACTGTCATCACCACATATGCTGATGACACATATATCCTATCAGTTAATAACGACCCATCTATTGCATCCCAAACCCTTCAATCTCACATCACAAACCCTTCAATCTCACATCACAAGCCTTGAAGAATGGTGTCAGAACTGGAGAATTAAAATAAATTCCAATAAATCCCATCAAATTACCTTCACCCTTCGTCGTAAACCAATGACTTCCTGTCCTTCAGTATCCTTTAACAACACCTCACTTATTCCTGTTGAACAAATCCGTTACCTAGGACTCCATCTGGACAAACGTCTAACTTGGAATCCTCATACCAGACTGAAACGACAAGAAACAGCTCGACGTTTCCTACTACTTCAACACTTACTAGACAAACGCTCTAACCTTCCAATCAATTATAAAAGACTGATTCACATGACTATAATAAGGCCTATTAAGACTTGCGGAGTTGAGCTATGGGGCTCCACCAAACCTTCAAATTCCTCTCGCATACAATCCTTACAATCCAAAATCCTTCGTAAAATCCTCAATGCTCCTTACTTTGTTACAAATAAAATTATCCATAATGACCTTAATGTTCCTTATGTATCAGATTTGGCCCAATCCAGATATCTGTCCTTCCATAATAAACTTCATAACCATCCCAACCCTCTTGTCTCTAATCTTGCTTCCTATTCGATTCCTGATAACCCTCCGAGGCGTCTGAAAAGAAGATGGCCACGTGATCTTCTAATATAGACATATTATTAGAGTGCTACCAATGGGTAGTTTCTCAACATGTGTTCCATGTCTTTACACCAATGTGCGAATTCACCAGTTGTATTTTTTGTATACAGTTGTAAATATCATATAAATAAATAATAAAAAAAAAAACATATGGATAAAATGACGTGAAAGCACTTGTTGAGAAACTACCTATTGGTAGCACTCTAATGAAATGTCTACATTAGGAAATCACGGGGCCATCTTCTTTTCAGACGCCTCGGAGAGTTATAAGGGATCGAACAGGAAGCAAGGTTTGAAACGAGAGGGTTGTGATGATTCTGAAGTTTGTTATAGAAGGATAGGTATCTGGATTGGGCCAAATCGGAGACATATGGAACATTAAGGTCTTTATGAATGATTTTATTTGTGACAAAGTAAGGAGCGTTGAGGATTTTGGATTGTAAGGATTGGATACGAGAGGAATTCGATGGCTTAGTGGAGCCCCAAAGCTCAATTCAGTAAGTCCAAATAGGTCTTATTATTGCCATATATATGAGTCGTTTGTAATTAATTGAAAGTTTAGAGCGTTTGTCAATAAGTGCTGAATAAATCGGAAACGTTGAGCGGTTTCTTGTCGTTTCAGTCTGGTATTATATATTGTTAATACTGTACATTTATATATTAGTTTTAAAAAGTTGTCTATAATGATTTATAAGTCTGCTGTGTTTGTAGCAACCCAATATAATTGACCAGCACCCTTTTATGAAAATAAAGTGATTCACTCTCTCGATTATACCCCCTTATACCCCCTTCTTCAATTACAACTTGTATGGCCGTGAATTACACCCTATGTTTATCAATCTTTGTAACAAGATTCTAAGCATCTCCTGATTCCTAAAGACTCTTCACATCTCTAGAACCAAATAACAGACTATAAGCTGGTCTCTTTCTAATTAACTGAGCAAATTAAAAATAAGTTTTAATGATGAACAGTTTACAATACTCCACAGTCCAACAAGGACTCAGGATGGTCGATCATATTTCCTCAGCGCTGGAAAACAAGCAATATTGCTCGGGTGCATTGCTGGACATAGCTCAAGCTTTTGAGTGGGTATGACATGCCGAGCTTCTGGGCAATCCAGTATACAGGTAAGTGAAAGTAAAAAAGAAGCTGTGGAATAATAAAAAAAATCAAAACATTTTTATATGAAAAGTACAATTATTTAAACACCTAAGAAACTAAAAGTAACCAATTAGATGAATCATTTCTTAAATAAATAAGAAGTAGTAGGCCCGTGCGAAAAATTCGCACAGCATATTGATATCAAATTAATAAGCCAAATTAATAAGAAAATAAAATAATGCAAGGTATCAAAAGATAAAGAAATCAAATGTTACTTTATCGATAAATATAATCGACAAAGAAAACAAAAATTAATTTAAATCTTCATTTTTGTTTGGAACCAACATGTTCACAAATTTCAGTAAGCTTTGTATCTTTGTTAAAAATAGTCCGATTTCGATGATTTTTTTCCCTTTTATGGGGAATTTAGTAATCTTATATATAATCATGGGCATAACTAAGGGAAAAGTGTGTAATTTTCTAATTATTCGCAAATAAAGTTTGTTTTCTTTCATAATTTGTTTGCCTGAATTTCCGGGGTGATTGGACTATTTTGACCGTCTGAAGGAGAAGGAAACCTTCGAAATTTGTGGCTCAATCTTGAAATTCGATGAAAAATTAACGATGATATGGCATGCCGATCAAAAACCCCATCGATAAATAATATAAACTCCTCCTCTCTCGATCATAGAGACCTCAAGTCGACGAAATGAGACATGTATTCAATGACAGTACCACAATTAATGTAAGGCTGTGTGGATGCGAACGCTATACCTAGCGTTATCTCGAAAATAGTACGTTTTTGGGCTTAAAAACGCAGGATCCGACAGTTCCGGAGGAACTATCCGGGTCTTGCTGTACGCATCAAAATCTTCAACAAGCAATCTGTCCCGTATCGATCTGCAGACCTACCACCGTTCCTGTATTGAAGCCTAGCAAAATGTTTGTATCGACTTAATTAATTTTAGAAGGAAAAACAAAAGTGGATAATACGATTCGCTAACCCCTCGTGAAATTCTGAATCCAACGGTACCCCATTCATGGTATTTGAGCATCACAGGAGCTTATATTTGGTACAAAACCGATTTCGAGCCTTACTGTTATAATATATGTGGGGATGAAAAAAAGTGCGTTTCAAAAGTTCAATTTTGTTATTGTTTACATTATATTTTTTGTTTTTTAGGAAGATGCATTCTGGATTTAAAAACAAATAAATAAATAACGTAGTACCGACATCAGTTCGATCATTTTATCTCTAAATTTATTTATTTCTATCTCCGAAGTTTAAACCATTAGGCAGTGCCGACGTTTGGGGTGGGGTAACCGGGGCTATTGACACGGGGTGCCGACCTGGAGGGGCGCCCATTGGGGGAGCCGGCCGATCTTCTGGGGCGCTCGCTACTTGTTAGAAATTAAAAAAAAATACTAAACATATTAAAATAATTAATTTTAGCCTATCAATAAAGCAACAATATTAGAGAAATGTTGAATGAAATAAAATTCAATCATTACATAATATAAAACAGCTTAGGAAATAAATTTAATTTTTTAGGGGGGAGGGTAAGATGTCATCATTGCCCGAGGGTGCCTAATATTTAAGGCCGTCACTGCCTTTATTATGGAAGAGTCTTATTTTGTTATAAATTAAAATTCATTAGCGGCTATTTCGCCTAAGCCTACATGCTTCATAACTATTTAATATAAAACCTTCTTCTCATTAAAAAATATTTTATGGTTGTTATGTTACTTGGCTGAAGTCACAGTGAAAAACCAACTCCCATCTGTAGTATCTATAGTCAACTATTTCTCTATAATTAAAAACATTTTAATTGGTCCGGAGGAAGAGATAAACAAATTAAACTAATAGTTTGCTCAATAATTCATAAACACTTCAGCTTTAGATGTTTATTTATTCTTTTATTAACGAGCATCGGAATATATATATTTTAAACGAATAATTTCTTCTAAAAAGGCAGATGTGTTAATCGGAGACGTAATCTTACGTCTTCTTAAGACGCAAATCTTACGTCTAGAAACATTAAGTATGTCACTTATAAATACGGATCAACTCCGTTGACAAAGATCTGTGAGAAAAATACAATTTCGTAAACACTTTACATGAAAAAAAATTAACAAATCATTATTATTATTTTGTTTTGTTTATAAATAAAAATTGTATTTGGACAATTATTTTTCTTATAATGTATACCAGATCATGGAAAAACATGAAATAAAAGCTTTACAACAGTTAATTGTTTTTAATTTTTCTTAAAACACAGATATTTTAGGTGACAAGATGAAAAATCACATTTCTTTACAAAACTTGATGTGAATCTCAAGAATTTGCCTAATAATTTGACTTTCCTACTTTTCTGCTGAGAATTTGCCCATTATTTATATGTACTTTTTTGTAGGCCTTGGGGTTTACTATCAGTCCTACGAAAATTTCCTATTAAAGAAGAAAGTCCTATTAAATGTAATTAAAAGAAAAGTAATTTAGTAAAAGTAATTTTTGGTGGGAGGGCTTCAGCCCGAAAGCCTCCCCCCCCCCCGTAGATTCACCTGTGACTTCATGTAACGTCACAATTTTAGTATTTTCTTACGGGAACAGTTTTTTTATACTGGTCATAATTACAGCTTGTATCCCTGCATTAGTTAAAATTGAACTAAGACACATTTTTTAAGTTTTCTTGTAACCTAAATAAGTAAAGGAAAACAAAAACATTCAATGGAATCAACGTTATCAACATAATAATCAAATGAAATATGTGATGCAATTTCTTTGACCTTAAGTGTGCATGAATATTTCCATGTTTTTATCGTGGTATAATATTTCCTATTAGGATAGATCATTTATTTTTTTAAAATATCTATCAAATATTTGAAATGAACTAGTGTTTCAATTTGTTATGGTTAATACATCTTCGGTAACATATATTTTTACTTGAAGTTATAATCACCGAACAACAATCAAATCAAGGCATAAAAGTAGCATTTTTTAAAATGATTAATGAAATTTAATACGTTTGCAACTGCTATAATATGAAAACAAAACAGTATAACATCAGTAGTGATGCCGCTGTCATGTGGATTAGACATCACGAAGTTCATGGAAGAATGTTATTAAGAAAGATTACGGGGTTGTTTATTAATGTTGTTAGTGTATTAGCGATACCCCAGTCTCCATGTCCTAACTATTTTGGCTACAAAACTGGGACTCAGGGAGAGTTTGTTGGTATCATAAGGGTACCGACTTCACTCATCTCAATTCCTATCACTCTTAAAGTTGAGCTGGCAATTAGAGTTGCCCTAAAAACTGTAAGTTTTTAAAGTTTTATTTATTGTTTTTTATGCTTTCGGGTTGAAGAACTACAAAAAAAAAAAAAAAAAAAAAAATAGATAATTTGTATTAGCCTACGTTTGTTTTTATGAGTGATATGAGATAATACTTATAACATATACATATAACAATCACAATACCTTCTCGTTTGTAATGTAACCACGAGTCAAGAAAAAAATATATTCCCAAAAGATTTATCATTCCTGTAATTACTGTTTTTTCATTTTAGTTGTTTTATTTGAATAAGCCTTAAAGGATTTTAACATCATTTTATATAGTTTACTTATTTTTCCTCTAGAGCATTTACCGTCATTGATAAAAGAAAGGTGAATTAACAACCCCCCTCCCAAATTAATCCCTGAATCCGTTACTCCTCTACTCATCGCTAAAAATTAAGAAAATCATTTTCGGTTAATTATTTTGAATTAAGCAGGGAAATTAATTTGAATGGAGTATACATAAGTGTGTGCCGTTAGTAAAGGGAATTATTTTAAGATTTAAGTAATACCTGATATCAGTAATTGGAGACCTTAATAGCTACAAAATGTTTAAATATACCATGGCCCGATTTTAGACGGAAAAGAAAGAAATTTATTTAATTTTTAGGAGCCACGTTCTTAGTTGGATAAGAAGAACATTAACTAAAAACATGTTTAATTTAAACAATTAAAAATTGTTTCATAATGAACAGCATTAAATTTACTTTAAATAAATGTAGAGCTTTTCTTTGTTTAATCTTTTTAAAGGAGTTTTCTAATAGGCTAAACTATGGTAGTTTCTCCTTTTCATAACATCATGGGTTATTCACGATTTTTTTTTTTTTTTTTATCAACTTCCAATTGGACTACAGAGACCGCACTTATCGTTAAATAAGCTTTAAGTCAATATGAATTAAGTTTACGTTTATTACAGAATAATTCAAAATTCATCTCAAGTTGAGTTAAAAAATGTTGTTATTTGATATTCTGATACCCAAAAGTACCTGTATATTCATTGAAAATTATTACAATAAATAATTTTAAAGTTTAAGTTTTGCTTCCACATTACCGAAGACAGGGAAGCTTTATATTCGTGCGGGAAGTTAAAAAAAAAGATTTGTGGTCAGAATCGAAAATTTCCACTCGCGTATTACGTTTCAAACATCAAGGATCAATTTTGGTTCGGTGTCTGTCTGTCTGTAGTCAAATCGATGTGAAATCAATATCACCTACTATCGTTTTTCATAACATTTTCGGGGTTTTTGCGGATTGTTGCCTAAATGGTTCCATATTAATTTCACAATTCTTAATTATTAATTTATTTATTTGCTAGTTCATACATAGTTAATACATTTCTCAACATAACAAAACTCCAGCAACTTTCTCAATTTACAATTCAATTTGGTGCTACCTTCACTATCGTAACGTTTTATCTTGGATATTGGAATCCAAGAATCATATAAAAAAAAAACAAGCATAGTGACATTAAGTTACAATATACTGAACATTGCATTATCATACAAAAAGCAGCTGCGTCGATAAAAATATAATAGAAATATATATATATATATATATATATATATATATATATATATATATATATATATATATATTCATATACATACATATACATAAAATATACATTATATATAAAGTAATTTTAAAAACTACGGAGGTAGCAACCCATTCGCAATATAAGTAATAAGTAAGTAATACTATAATATATAAGTAAATAAAAAGTAAAATAAAAATAACAAAAAAAAAAAAAAAAAAATAATTAAATAAAAATAAAATAAAATAAACAAACAGATAAATTTAAAAAAATACGTAAAAACGTAAATTATCGCATCGGTAAAATCATTGAGTATCACGCTATAAACGAGGAAGTAGCTTGAACCAATTACTGTAATTCAAGTGGGAACTTTAAAGAACTCTCACGGTAATGGCGTTCATTGTGCTCTTGGGGATGCCCAACATATCCATGTCTTGGAAAGAGCGTCGGCACCATACCAGAGTACTTTTATGCCTACGCTTGGCACTCTCAGTGTACACCCGATCGCCATCCTACAATCTAGGTCCCTTTATTTATTGGCTTCAACATTGTTCCAGTGGGTGGTGCTAGTATTGTCTCCGACGATGCCGGATTGCTGCCTAAATGGTTCCATATTAATTTCATCAAATACCATACAGTACTTCCGCTTGCGCACGCGGAAGGGTATTTTCTTAGACATAACGATATTTCAGAAATGGCTGGATTGATTTGGGTAAAAGTTGAAGGAAAGGTATGTTTTGGTAAAATAATGATGCAGTATAGATTTTATTGAATTCCTTCCTCTTATATATGCGAAAACGTATTTTCTTTGAATGATATTTGTCTCAATCGCACGTTCGATTTTCTCCAAATTTGAAGAGAAGTTAGGAATTGGTAATTTAATTTATTCACAAACGAAAAATTATTGATAAGCAATTGTGGAACCCGTAAAAATGGTGAGGAAGCTTTAATGGCCTCACTTGGCAGTTTTTTTTAAAATTCTAATTCAATATAATAAAAACACAAAAATACATTTTTCATTTTCATAAAACCATTCCACTTTTTCTAAAATTAATCATTCACAGGAAATGTTCATATTTTTCTTCTTATCTTAGGACGGGGTCACCTTACCTTACTTTGCTGCAGACCATGGTCTCCCATAGTACAGCGGAAGGCCACCCATAGCCCCATAACCGATCCCTTTGGGGTCAATCTGGCAGTGTTCTTGAACCTGACTCAGTCGCTACTCAGGTTCAAGGACAATGACAAATTGGTCTAGATCCATGGATCCTACTTAAGTTTTTGGATTATTTATCCATCTTGTTAATGCATTAAATTCATCATTATATTTCATAACAGTGACACCTCTTATTTTTTAGAATATTTTAAATATATATTCTATGTCCACATTTTTCTTAATATTATTTTTGACAGCTATTTGTAATTTGAAGTCCTCATTTTCCATATAATAAATACAAAAATAATAATAAAAAGAATCACAAGATAAGCCGAGTGGCACTTGGCCCCCAATTTCCCCGAACAATACCCCAACGGTTTGTTGTTCACACCACTCGATCTCGATTATCTTAAATTTTTTATCGTTGGTTTTCAACTAAAAATATTATTACACGGTCACCCATTTATCGAATTGAGTTAATTTTAAAATATATAATTATTATTATTATTATTATTAAAATGGCACATCGGTACTGAAATAACCCGGCCCTCCTCCACTCCAATATAGCCAACCAATCTGCAAGGTCTCGTGCTACCTTCCTCCATCTCTTTCTTCTGGAACATCCTGACGCTTTAAATAGTCTTCCACATCCTCGAGCCATCTGATCCGAGGGCGTCCTCTACTTCTTTTGCCATCAGGTTTCTCATTGAGTATGCTCTTTGGCATTTTTTGTTCGGGCATTCTTTCCACGTGTCCTATCCATCTTATTTGCTTGTTTTTTTATCACTGAGACAATATGGGGTTCACCGAACAGTTCACGTAGCTCTTCATTCTTTCTTCTCCTCCACACCCCGTTCTCAGTAACTTCGCACTATATTCTTCTCAATACTATTCTATCTCAGAAGTTAAGCATGTTTTCTGATTTTTTGGTTATGATCCATACCTCACACTCATACATAACCAATGATCTTACTATGGTTTCATAAATAAGAATTTTGATTCTTTTTGAGAGGGACCTAAATTTCAAACCTCTTTGCAGTGCGAAATAGATTTTTTTTAGATTTGCAAAATATTTTCTGCTGCTATCCTGGCCTTTATTTCAGTCTCTACTTTATTATCATATGTAACTAGGCTTCCCAGGTACTCGAACTGGTTTACAGATGTAAAGTTGTGAGCTCGGAATGATTATTCTTCCAATATACTAATTAATATTATCATGAGGGTGAAGTTGTTAAGCATTTTTAAACCTGAAAATTCACACATCTGTGAAAAAAGAATTCATAAAAGCTGATATCTTTAGAACGAATTTGTGCAGTATTACCAAAACATACAATTTCGTGCTAAATTAAATTATTATCAATTGTATTTCTTTTTCATTATACGAATTCTTATCGTGGTTTGGCTAAATTTGAAGTTAGCGTAAACAAATATGCAAACGAACGAAACTCCGATCTCTAGTTATAAATTTTGTAGACTTTTTTGGTACAGGTTTTATTAGTTTTTATGGCTGTTGAATTATTTTATAAATCATTGAATACATTATGAATTTAATTAATAAAATAAAACTAGTACTAAAATCGAAATATTTCAGTATGTTTGCATAATTTATTTTTTATTTTCATTTGTGGATTTATTTTAATAATTTATTTATTTTTTCTGCAGAAGTACGTTGGTATATTGATGCTATCTGAACACCCAACGGTGGTATTGGGGAATATAATGAATTATAAGGCAAAATCAATAAACTACACAATTAGATTCCCTTTACCTAGTCCTCTGCCCTACCTTCAGAAGATCCAAGTTAACAACAAAACTTTGTGCATTGGCAAAAATATCTCTTCGTTAAACTATGGTAAGCTTTCCATCTAGTTGTATTGTTATTTTTAAAATTTAGTATCTGATTTAAAAAACAAATTAATAAATAAAAGATAAAAGATAAAGAGGATAACACATTTACTGTCACCAGTTTAACAATCGAAAATGTCCTGAAATTAACGTAAAAGAAATTTGAACGGTCACAAAGGGAGGTCACAGTCAGTGGGTCACCGATTTTTTTTTTTTTTTTTTAATGAAATTTACAACTATATTACATAGAAAATACAATAAGTAAATGTGACATTGGTAACATGACATGTACAACATGAAGAGAAACTACCCATTGGTAGAACTCAAATTAAAGTTCTATATTAGAAGGTCCCGAGACCATCTCCTATTTAGACGCCTCGGAGGGTTATCAGGGATCGAGGAGGAAGCAAGGTTTGAAACGAGAGGATACGGATGGTTTTGCAGTTTGTTATGGAAGGATAGGTATCTGGATTGGGCCAAATCGGAAACATATGGAACATTAAGGTCTTTATGGATGATTTTATTTGTGACAAAATAAGGAGCGTTGAGGATTTTACGAAGGATTTTGGATTGTAAGGATTGGATACTTAATAGGAATACAATAATAGGTCTTATTATTGTCATATATATATGAGTCGTTTGTAATTGATTGAAAGCTTACACTGATTTTAAGTGTGTGATTCTACATTAAAAAATGTTGAATCCTTGTCCCGGCTTTTGTTCCTATGGACAACTGATTATTATTAAAAAAAAAAATTAAGCTCAAGAGATTAATGGTCTTAGGTTAAGACAGTCCAATCATAGTTTTATATATTCTGACCTTTGAGGATTTTGATAAGTTTCTAGACCGGAGTTAGTTTTGAAGTGCGAAGGAACACCGGTGAGCAACCATAATACCTCTGTCCATCTCTTACCTAATATCAATTCAGGAGTTTATTTATGAGCTAAGTAGACAAATTCCCGTATCACTTCTATTTTGTGTGGACCCAATTGAAAAAAGCCTTCCCGGATATCATACTTTGGGTTAGCACACATATACTTAGTTCTGTCCGTGTTTATTAGGAGCCCCATACGTGCTGCTGCTACTTCCAGAGCTTCAAAAGCCTTCCTTACTACATCCAGTGTCCTTCTTCTACATGAAGTTCCAAATCACCCGCATTTCCAACCACCTGAACAAGTCTGTTTAGAAGTATCCCTGTGGTCTGAATACCTGAGCCCCTCACGGCTGTCAAATTAAATACAAGACAGGCCAAACCATCGCCCTGGCGGACTCCAGTTCCTGTGTTGAAACTTCTGGAGAGATTCCCGAACATTCGCAGGTTACCCTCCATTGTCACGCGTATGAATCTTACCAGTTTTGGAGATATCCGTATATCGATCAGAGCCTTGTAGACTTCATTCCTGTTTACAGAGTCATATGCTTGCTGGAAGTACACAAATACATGGTGAGTGCTGATTCCATACTCTCTGGTTTTATCAAGAAACAGATGGAGAGCTAAAATTTAATCCGTCGTCGATCTGCCTGATCTGAAACCACTCTTATTTCATTTTCATACGTATTTTCTTATTTCACGTTCTGCATAGGGGAGCAGCCCCTTTAAATAAGACCGCCGACAGCACCTTGTAGGCCCAGGGAAGGAGAAATATTCCTCTGTAGTTCTTGCATTCCAGGACATCACCCTTCTTGTGAATAGAGAATACGATGGTCTTTCTCCATTCCAAATGTCCAGAAATAGATCTTTAGGAAACACAGTAAGCTCATACTTCAGAAGCCATCATGCTTCAGAATTTTGGTTGATATGTCGTTTATGCCTAGGGTCTTGTTATGCTTGAGCTTTAGTAGAGCTTCCTGGATCTTCTCTTCATCAGGTGGTTCAATATGATCTCCGCTCAGTGCCTCGTTCTCCAAGTATTCCTCCGGGCACTCGATTGATATCCTTATTTTTAAAAGTGTATAAAAGTAATCGGCCCACCTTTCCAGTGCCGCCCCCCCCCTATCAGTTATAAGAGAACCATCTTCTGCTTTGCAAGCATGTGCTTGAGATTTAAAGGGCTTCCTTCCCTCGTTAAAATGCTGGAATAACTGACGCCTATTCTTATCCTTAAAGGCCATCTCTATCTCATCAAGTGCCTTGCTTTTCCATGCTCTCTTCTTTCTCCTCATCAGATGTAAGTCTTCCCTGCGTAGGATTTTAATTCAAACACCTAAACGGGTGTAATAATCTAGCAATCCATCGCTCTAAAACTCCTACCCTACTTGCCTCAAACACTTAATCCGCCCTGGTCGCAAAATGATTTAGGTAAAGCATTGGCACCGTATTGAATGGACCGTATTCATGCCTCCATCTCTCATCTCTCATATCTGAGATAATGATTATATCTAGTTATATTTATTCGATCTCGTAAGTTTAAGGAGAAGGCGATTTCTGTAGTTTAGCCTTTAGATGATTGGGAATCCATTTGGCTTTTTCAACGGATATCCGTAAGGAAAAAAAAAAAAAAAACGAACGAAAACTTAAAAACCTATTTCCAATATAAATCAGCCCCTTTCCCATAGGTTAGGGCTCTAAGGGAAAAGCAAAATGACAAAGGCAGTTCTCTACAAAGTGCATAATTCAACAACCAAAGGTAAACTTATGGTTGTGGGTGGGAGCTGGCCACCACCGAATTTTAAACCACAATGCACAATGTGTAGCACCCCCTTGTTGAACATTGAAACATAATTCACTTTTGGACCAAGGTCCCAATACGAACCAGGAACCTACCTAGAGTGGATTTTGTTTAGTTTTCATCTTCATTCGTTTATCAAGTTGATGAATCTTTAATGATGACTTGCAAAGAATGAATATTGAGTTATTCATCCTCGTTTCCTCAAAGATGGCACCATTAAGAAAGCTGCTCTGACAGTTTTGGTGGTCTGGGCAGGGGTGCCCAGAATGGGGATTCATGGCGCAAGACGCAATCAAAATTGCAAAGGGGGACACGATTTGAAGGGGTTTTGAATTTTTGAGGGGAGGCGGGCAGTTCGACAGGTTTATGAATTTTTGGAATGAAAAGATTCAAACCAAAAGACAAGGGGAAGCATGGAACAGACTGCAGGAAGTGTAATTGTATAAAATTCACGATTTCTCTAATTTTGATTTCGCTTGTTCTGTTTTTAAGAAGAGATGAGCAATCAAATACCTTGAGGGAGATAGGTTCTTGCACCATCGATCTTGGGAGGGGGGGGGGAGAGGGTGGGCACCCTTGATATTTGAGCAGGGGAACACTTGATATTGTCTTGTACTAAAATGAGTACATATAATATTTAATAAAATGCCCGGTAAAACCCATATAGCCTAAAAGGTGTGGTAGGGAAGAACAGAAAAACATATGCATACTTTATCTATGTCATTTGCGAATTAGGTATTATAAGGATATATACTTTGATTATTATAGGAATATTTTGAGTATTATATGAAGTTTCCACCATATATAGTATTTGTAATTCTGTGAAAGTGGTTCCATTCGATTCAGTACGTCGAAAATAGTATTGTAATAACACCAAACATTATTGAGAAATATTTAATAAGGCGATTAGAGAGCTATAAAAAGGTTCATGTAGACCAAGGTCGGATTTCTTGTAGAAAAATAGGATATTTAAGTTTAGGGTATCTTTATGTAAGTCAAAATACCAAAATTTTAAGTTAGACACATTTAAAAAAAAATGATTGTAAAATAGAATTTTGCTTAGTTGAGATGGGAAAATGCTACTTTGAGTACCTACTACCAAGTATTTTACTCTAATTGAATCACTATTGGGAATTCAATCTCTACTTCAGCTAATCATTTGACATCAACTGAAGTTGTAATTAAATTTTATTTGAATAAAATTCTTGGTACTCAATACTCGGAGTAGCATTTGCCCATCCCTGGTTTAAATTATTTTAAGAATCATTTAATGCTCCTAAAGTTCTTTTTTAAATAAAAGACGGAATATTTCAGATTTTTTAATTTATTTATTTATCATTCATCAACTGGTCTGAAAATTCTCCACTTATAGAAAATAAATCGTGTTTAATAAGTTTTAACTTCGTACCAATTATGTTCATATTGTACATAGGTGTGAATGTGTTTTATTTATTTTATTACCATTCGGATTTAATCTGTTATTTTACTTATCTTCTATATTACTTTTTTTTTTCTTCTACTTTGTTTTTTTACATTTATTTTCCTTTCTTATGTACATATTGTGTGAATGAATACTGTAGCTCTAGTACCAATGCCCTTCAGTGTGGCAGACTGTATTAATACTCAATAAAAAAAATATGTTGAAGTTTGTCATAGAAATTAACTTAATTTAGAGTTTTGTTACAAAAAAATCTCTGACGTAACATTTTGTCTCCTCCGTAAGTTTTTACAAACTTTTTATTTGATTAACCTTTGATCTAAGATAAATACAAACATACTATTTTTTTTTTTTTTTTAAATCTGGTAGTAATATAAATATTTATTTATTTTTTAAATAAATATTTTTTATTATATAAATATAAATTTTATTATATAAATATTTTAAATAAATATAAATGTTCGCCTAAAATAATAGTCAACAAACTCTTTTCAGTTATGGCTATTGATCCTTAAGGTATTAGGTGAGCTAGTAAATTTTCCATCTTCTAATCCTAATTCAAATATGCATGTTTTCATAAAAATAATTCAAGTTCATTGTGTGCTTCATTATTTTAGAAATGTTAATAAATAATAAGTTGTTGTGGCATGTGATTTTTTATATACCCGATTATGGCCTGAAGTTATATAATCTGTTTTTGGCAAAAATTGGTCTTAAACCAAAAAAAAAAAAAAAAAAAAAATGATAATAACGAAAGTAGTGTTCTTTCATGAATTTCCACATGCTCCATGTTGCATTAAAATGCAGCCTTCATTTCTAAGAGAAAATGATTACCAGTTTCAGTTAACAGCTCATTATTATTACTTCTACTATTATTAATTCATTAATTTCGTATAAAATTTAGACTAGACAATTGCTTGAAATATTTTTATGAAAACGTAAATATAATTAGGAACATTTAGAAGGTCGTCTTATAAAATAAGGGAGATAATACTGATAATTGAGATCTGTTTAAAAGACTGGTGCACTATCATTGGAGGATATATTTTTTAAATATTTTTTTTTTTTTAACTTTTTATTATTTTTCTTTCGAAATAAAATATGTATGTTGATAATTAATTAATTAATTTAATATAAATCTTTTGGTAAGAACATTTGTATTCCGAGGAGATAGAATGGCACATCACATCACTTTGTTTACAAAACTCGCAGCGAATCGCTGCTTATTTTATGACAAACCTCAATATAATTATTATGGACTTTAAATATACTAAACAAGGTACTTTTTCCAAAAGTAAGGAAATCCCTTAGCACAATACTTATCCAGCTCCAGCCATCCCTACAATCCTCCGCGAAGGTTAAAAAGCCAGTGGCCTCGAGATCTTTTGTAAATACGTCATTGGAGTCCCGGCAATGTAAGGAATATATAGTACAGTAAAATTCATCGAGCTTCTCCACACAAGTCATGAGCGTATGTGGCTTTAGTGCCCTTTCTCAGTCTCCACTGGATCCCCATCTCAGTGATGCGGCTGAGAGAGAAGCGCTGGGATCTCTTAGAGTCTTGCCTTACCTTCCACACGTGGGAGAAAGGGCCCAACTTCGAGCTCCCTCGGCTGAATGTAAATATTGTAAATTAGCATGAATGTTTTTTTTTTCTTATTAATTAATTTTTCTTAATTTGTGTTGTATCATATTTTATTTCATCTGTTTAACTAAGCTTCCTTTTTCTTATTTTTGTTATAATTTCTATTATATTTGTAATTGTATATATTGTATGAATGAGTTATTCACATCACAAATACTCAATGCCCTTGATTAAGGCAAAATGTATTTTTTCTCAATAAAAAAAAAGTAAGGAATATATAGTACAGTAAAATTCAGATAGAAAAAAATGATAAATAATTCAGGAAAAAGATACTTTATTAAAACAAAATTGAAATAGTTTAAACAAAGCCAAATTCGATGCCATTATTATATTATTTATTCAATAATTTTTACAATATTAGTCATATATTGTCAAGAAACATAAGTGTTTACCTTTTATTGTCCTGCCAATCTCCTTCACGCATACCTCTGTTCATCATTCTTTCCTTTACTCGGTTGAATAGACAGTAACACTTTTCAGGAACATTTATAAAATCTTTTTTTTAAGGACACTATTTACTCCACAGTGGCGAATTTAAGGTTATGATGATTATCTTTCTGCTGTTTATGCTCTATTCAATGCCTATGTCTCATGCTCCTGTCGTATTCACCTAGCTTTCTAGATACTTAAATTGAGATTCAGGTTTAAACATACAAGTGTCTAAATATCCTTGACTCTTAAAGACCATATGTACAGGTTTTTCTTTGCTGTCTTCCAGCCCCCATCTCGAGTAGTCCTGGAGATTTTTTCTCATCAAATATTCTACATCCTCTGCTTTGGAGCGACGAGCACCTGGTCGTCAGCAAACTGGAGATTGAATTGGCAATAATTTCAAACCTTTAGAAATAGAAAATAACTTTATTCTGGGACAAAGTCCCTTTAGAATAACAAAATAGAACGTAATGAAAAGACTACATCTGGCCAAAATAAAACAATAATAAAAAAAGAGAAAGTAAAGAAAATACTAGTTAAACAAGCTATATACAAAAAAAAAAAACCTATATACAAAACATTTAAAACTATGTACAGTTGGAAAAATTATAATTATACACTTTTGAAAAATAAAATAATAAAAAATACATTTCTTGTATTTCTTCATTGTCTGTCATAGCCTTCTCCAGGAGTTGCCTAATAAAAAAGATATGGTCACTATGTCATTATTACTTTTTTTTTTTAAATGTCTAGATTTTTATGCTGAATTTTGTAATTTTCTATATTAAATAGAATTTTACTCATGGTTTCTTATGAAACAAAAACGTGATGAAACCTTAAAAAAACCAAAAATAAATTTCCGGTTTTTCTGCTTGAATCGGACTATACCCTATGAGGATTTGTTTGTAGCTCTTGAAATCTACTATCGCCTCTTTAACCATTTCTTATTACGAACGGGTAGTGTTGGCCAAAATCATGTTGCAATACTAAACCAAGACCAGGACTGGTAAAAAGTCTTAGTTACTATATGTTAATAATTGGTATAACCAATATACTTTTGAATTTCACTCCTTTAATTTTTCATTCGGGCTTAGTTAGGTTTCTCCTATCTAAAAAATTACAGTAATATCTCTATAGTAATAAGTTAATAAGTAACTGCAAGACTGTTGCGCAAGACCAGGACCATGACCAAGACTGAGTTTACAAGACTAAGACTTTTCTCGGTCTCGCATTTGGGCAACACTAATAATATGTTTATAAATAACTTAATTATGTGATACTTGTATGCATAGAACTTATGTACTATTTATGTATATAAAATACATACATATATAGAATTAGAGTAGAATTACAATAAATATGAATTAAATTTATACCTACAAAGTTAAAAACTTTTACCTTTTAATAGTCGAAAAAAAAAAATTAAAATACTATATACTCTTGATGGGAATTTAATGTTATATAGCTTTTTTTCTCATGAATTATTTATAGGATGCAGGTCCGAAGGTTGAGCTAGTCAAATAAGGCAAAAAAACATGCGTGTTTTTTTTTTCTTCAAAATTGTCGAATTTTGAGGGCGGATATCCCGAACACTATGCAAGATAGCGATCGCCCACCCAACAAAAATATACAACAACAATATATATATTATTTATATATCAATTAATTTGTTATAATATTTTCAATTTTTTATTTTCATATTTTATTGATGATATAATGATTGATGGTATGATGAACAATAAAAAATATAAATAAAATAGCTCCCAATTATTTATTGCTAGTTGATAATGTTCTTATATAACTTATGAAACCTGGCTTTGAATTTTAAAAATAAATTTTAATTTATTATTACATTCCGAGTAATACCGGGTTCTTAACCATGTAAATATGACGAATTAAAAACATTATTTGTGAGCTTTTAAACGAAACGTAATTTTGAATATCTCGAAACTGAAAAACATTAGTGTCGACATTTTCAACATAAAGGATGTTTTTTATTTAGGTTAATCAAAATCTGCTACAATTGTTGTTTTGAAAACCTTTGTAAAGTTAGTTAACTTAGTTATTTAAACATTTTAAGAAAATAACTATGAAACGCAAGTTTTTCATCTATCATCTTATAAACTTCAGATATAAAATATTATAATATTATATTGTGAATATATTAAAATATAAATATATATAAAATATTATAATATTATATTCAAATATTATAATTTCCTGAACCACGACGCTTTAATTCAAATATTAAAATTTCCTGAACACAACATCCTTAAATTCAAATATTAAAATTTCCTGAACCCAAGATCCTTGAATTCAAATATTAAAATTTCCTGAACCCACGACCCTTAAAGTCAAATATTATAATTTCCTGAACCACGACGCTTAAATTCAAATATTATAATTTCCTGAACACAACATCCTTAAATTCAAATAATAAAATTTCCTGAACCCAAGATTCTTAAATTCAAATAATAAAATTTCCTGAACCCACGACTCTTAAAGTCAAATATTAAAATTTTCTGAACCCACGACGCTTAAATTCAAATATTAAAATTTCTTGAACACAACATCCTTAAATTCAAATAATAAAATTTCCTGAACACAACATCCTTAAATTCAAATATTAAAATTTCCTGAACCCAAGATCCTTGAATTCAAATATTAAAATTTCCTGAACCCACGACCCTTAAAGTCAAATATTATAATTTCCTGAACCACGATGCTTAAATTCAAATATTATAATTTCCTGAACACAACATCCTTAAATTCAAATAATAAAATTTCCTGAACCCAAGATTCTTAAATTCAAATAATAAAATTTCCTAAACCCACGACTCTTAAAGTCAAATATTAAAATTTTCTGAACCCACGACGCTTAAATTCAAATATTAAAATTTCTTGAACACAACATCCTTAAATTCAAATAATAAAACTTCCTGAACCCAAGACCCTTAAATTCAAATATTAAAATTTCCTGAACCCACGGCGCTTAAATTCAAATATTAAAATTTCCTGAACACAATATCCTTTATGGGTCGTAGTGTTACAGGTTTTTTCTCTCTTTCATTCTGGGAGTGCGATATATTTTTTACATGTAGTAAATTTTATTTATTATTTTTCTTTTTTGAAGGGGCTTTAAAAAGTTTGTTGAAATGATTAGACATGTCATTTAAAAGATATTTATAGATGTTTAATCTTGTATAAGCTTTAATAATATATTAAAATGTATTTTGGCTTCTGTCTTATCTTTATTATTAATTCTAATATTAATGACTATCGTAATAATAACAATGTTAATATCCATATCTTACGGATTGAAAGAAGAATAAGGGACTTAATAACACATTCGGATGTATTTTTGAATAAATCCACAACGGATTATAACAAGTTTTTAGTTGCATTATGCTTGTTTAAATTCTTATCATAACCTGATTATACTTAATTCCTTTCCTATTTTTAATAATAAAAATTATATACGAAAATAAACAATATACATACCTAATTTATTTTTTATCTACAGCAAAACTGAACCTTATAAAGAATAATCGACATTTTTTTTGTAGTATTTGGAGGAGTAACAACTAAAATTTTATTGGAACATACGTTTCCAGCTAATCCAAACATTGGTCCGAATAAAATACGCGATGATGTTTCCCTTATGGCAGCAGACGAGGGATATACGGTTAGAAGGATAGGTATAAAAATATTTTATTTTATATTTGTGTCATTAAATATCATTACATCATTACATGGTCCGACATTGAGTATAAATCAGTGTTTATTGTTTTGAAATAAATTTAAAATTTTGAATAAAATAAAATATGTTTCTTTTATTTATGGTTAAATTTTAAATGTTATATACTTTTCAGAAAACGTTAATTATTTCAGGTGAAAGCTGTGATGTTAACGATTTAACAGGTAGAGGGAACCATAGCTGGCCTTGGTTAGCTGCTATCTTTGTAAAAGATGAGTCAGGTATTAGATTCCAGTGCGCAGGCAGTTTGATAACGAACAGGCATTTAGTCACAGGTCTGTGAATAATATTTATCCTTAATTTGTACATTATTATTTCAAAATTAAACCTTTACCTATATCCCAATAAATAATATTGGGTAAGTAGGTAAGAGAAACTCTACTTTTACGTTTTTACTATTTTTTTTACAATTTAATGAAAATCTATTTCCTCTAGAATCCTTTACGCAACCTATTATTTTTAACAAAAATAAAAATAAAATTCTTACCTAAGTTAACAGTATATAACATATGGTAGCCTGAGGTCATGACAAAATCACTGGAAATAACGAATGTTTTCAGTGTACAACTATATTACTATTTACCGTTTAAATTCAAACGAAAAATTTTCTGAATGTTTTATACTTATATATTTATGAAGCAACGGCTCAGCTACAGTTTTGCAATAAGCAGAAAAAGAAGAATGTGAAAAATCTATGGTTAATTAGCCAGTAACTCAGGGTATAAAAGAAAAACGGCCAAAATGAGGAAGGTGGCGTAAAACAAAATGAATAAATGGACATTTCAGTGATAAATCAAGAAAATCAGATGAACAATAGCACAATACAGAGTACATTAGGATGTTTAAGAAAGTAAAAGTGTATAATAGGTAGACTACATACTATTCTTAAAATTTAGAATAATATCTTTTTAATACAGCCTCATTTTATAGCCCGTAGTACAGACATCAAATTGTATCAAATTATAACATCCACTTGAAACTTCGTGAATATCTTCATCTCATCGTAACAAACAACTATTATATTTACGAAAACTCTCGGAATTATGGTGTTTTCAATCTGAAGATCGCCAAATTTTGTCTATTTAATTAGGTACTAAAAGCTTGTAGGTACCCATTTGCTTTCCACTTGGATCGATAATTTGATAAGCAAAATCAAGAAAAAAAGGTGGCCTTCAAAAATATTGGGCTGTTTGGCCTATACAACCTCGTTATTTTGACATTTTGACGGTACAGGTCACGCCAAACAGCTCATTATTTTTGAAAGCCATCTTTTTTCTCGAGTTTGTGCTCAAATGATCTTACAATCCATGAAGAAGGCAAATGGGTCTTTAAGAGTTTTTAGTATCTAATTAAATATCCAAAGTTTGACCACCTTCAGATTGAAAACGTCCCAATTCCGAGAATTTTCGAAAATAAAATAGTTGTAGGTTATGATGAGATGAAGGTATTTACGAAGTTTCAGACGGATGTTAATTATTTGATAGAAAGGGATCTGTACCACGGACTATCATGTTATCGTTACATGGAGCTTTCGGTACATTGCACCATCTAAAACATCACACACCTCAATACATTGATATAAGAGGACTAATGTCGTCGTAGGCTTTCAGGAAGTCTTGGCCTATCAAAAGACGTTATAAGTTTATGACAGAAGTTGAAGGTAGGGTATTTTTGTACCGTAGTTGGATTGGAGGAAAATGAATGCCAGCGAAATGAAGAATGCAACTTTATTCAACAGTTTCTAGTTAGTGTATTAGTCTACATATGCTGGACATGATGTAACCTCACTCAATTGCACCAACAAATGACTCTTTTTCATCCCTTCTTGTATATACTATATGTATTTGGACCTCTTGTAGTGCATGCTAATACTAACCTACCTACTAAAGATGAAAGCATCTCCAATAGCATTTAAATATCAATTTATCTGTAAACCCGTCTCAAGCCTTGTTTATGCTAATAAAATAGCCATACTGTCGGTTTTGCGAACTCCTTGTACCGGGGTTGGTTAAAAATGGAATTAAAAATATTAGGGGTATTTATACACACAAACACAGACACACACACACACATGCACATGCGCATGCACGCTCTCACGCACGCACACGCACACTACACGCTCTCGCGGGTCTAACAGACCTGGAGAAGGAACCACGAATAATAAACCAAGCATGGGGAGTTACGTTAAACTGATAAACCTTACGGTGCAGGGGATCGGATCCCCAGTACCGGCGTCTGGTAATGCGGGTTCTCAGGTGTCGATATCCAGCGAGCGCAGTGCTGCAGTAGTAGATCATATTGCCACTGCAGTTACTAAGACTTCAAGTGAAGTGTACCATTCGTTCTTCTGTTGTTGTTTACCCGAGAAAATGATGAAATATACAAGAAATTCGGAACAAAATCATCCTCGGAAAACTATGTCGCTTTGATGATGACTAGGCAGGAGAATTAGAGTGCTGCAGCAGAAGGCTCAGAGCACAGTAGCAAGAAAGGAGAGGCCGTGCAGTGGTGTAGCTATAATAAGATGTCCAAAGAAGAAGTAGGCATGTAGCCCTTTCACTCCCGCGAAGTAATGCTTGACAGCAGTTCCGTGGGGCGATAAAGAAGAATTGGGAAGTATTTTTTTAGTGAGTAGGAATCTTACACTGTTGTGAGACCTTTTGTTGGTTGCACTTCGTCTTATGAAAGATTTCTCACCTACCCAAAAATAAAAAAAACACACACACACACACCTATATATATATATATATATATATATATATATATATATATATATATATATTAAATTTAAGATATGAATTATAGTCGGATAATAGGTAATGAAATTTTGTCAAAAAATTTCATTACCTATTATCCGACTATAATTCATATCTTAGGTTATAGTATATAAAATCATCCTTAATGTTCCATGTGTTTCCGATTTGGCCCAATCCAGATCCTTCCATAACAAACTGCAGAACCATCCGAATCCTCTCGTTTTAAACCTTGCTTCCTCCTCGATCCGTGATAATCCCCCGAGGCGTCTGAAAAGAAGATGGACCTTCTAATATATAACTTTAATTTCACTAAAATAAAAAAAAAAGTTACAGTATCTAAAGGTCGAATTATAAAATAAAACATTGTAATATTATATATATATATATATATATATATATATATATATATATATATATATATATATATATATATATATATATATATATATATTTATTTATTGAAAGACCCTCGAAAATCGGTTGAGATATGATGGTTGGTGGCACTAAACTACATTTTTGTGGACCATGGACAAGCGAAGGATGATGTTCCCTTAATTATTGATATTTACCTCTTCGACAACCTGTATGTTAATACCCAAGTATGGTCTTGGATTTATGTTGTAATTGGACAGTCGCGTAATTGTACTTCAAGTTAATGCATATTAAATGCATTTAAGAATTGTCATGCCTAAAGGAGTTATAAAAATAATATTTTAAAACAATAACAGTTCTTTATATTTTAGAGCCCATTGAGTCTAAAAAGCCATTACTATCATTGGCCTCAGTGGAATTCGGACATTGATTTTTTATGGCAAACATTTACTTGCCCTACTTATGCTTGAAGTGTCCTTTGAGTTTTTTATTTGTTCCAAATTGATTTTTATTCTAATACATTCGTCGATATAGATAGATAGATAGATAGAAAAATAATTTTATTCTGGGACACAGTCCCTTGGGAATAACAAAATAGAACAAAATTAAAAGATCACATCTGGCCAAAATAAAATCAATCGAAAAAAAGAAATAATGTAAAAAAAAAATATAAGGTAAACATTCTATATACAAAAAAACGAAACTATATATACAACAATTAATACTATGACAAGGCACTTAAAGCTATTTGCACTGATAGACTCGTATATACTTTTGAGAAAATAATAAAGAATTAAAAAATAAAAATGTATCAAATCCTCCATTAAAATCAGTTCGAATGGTTAGCAACTATCTGACTGTTCTTGGGATAGGAATTGGAATAGGAGGGTTTTGAATTTGGATATGGATGGGGAATGCCGAATTTTGATAGGGAGGGAATTCCAGAAATTGACAGAGCGAACAATAAAGGAATTTTGGAATGAAGCAGATCCGTGAGAAGGCATGTAAAGGTTAGAAGTTCGAGATCTTGGGGACAGGGAATGGACTGAGAATTTGAACTGGAGAAGGTTGTAGGCGTAAGAAGGACGATGGCTGTTGATGATTTGGTAGAGGAACGTACCTAGGAAATATTGTCTTCGGAAGGAGGGGAAAAGCAACTTTAACTCAGCGTAGTGGTGAGAAACATGGGATTATCTTGGGGCCCCGATCACAAATCTTAGGCAGCTGTTCATTAGTCTTTTCAGTCTATCGCGGAGCTCCACAGAGAGGCCATCATACACCACACAGCTATAGTCAAAGTGGGGGGAAATGAGAGAGGAAACTAGGAGTCTACGCGTATGTTGAGGTAGGAGATGGCGGAAGCGATGGAATAGTTTGAGGGTGGAAATTGTCCGTCGAGTGATGTGAGAAATATGGTGATTCCAAAGGAGGTTTTGATCAATGAAAAATCCTAAATTTTTAACAGAGGAGTAGAAGGAGATTGGCTGGTCATTAAGGTGAAGGATGGGAAAGTCTGGATGGGATCTAAGAAGGGGAAGCAATGACAATGGCCTGAGTTTTGGCGGCATTTAACCTTAATCCATTTACAATTGCCCAGGCACTGTGTATATATATATATATATATATATATATATATATATATATATATATATATATATATATATATTATATATATATATATATATATATATATTTTATTTTTTTTGTTTGTGAATATGTGTTCATACATATATCGATAAGTATATAATAACTTAGAAATTCATGCAGAGCGAATTCAGAAAACAATAATATAAATAAATGTTGGAATTGTATAAAATATTTGTTTTCTATAAAACGTGTTACTGATGTTTTTGAAATTGTTTAAAAAAAAAAAAAAGTTTCATCGAAATGGGTGATCTCACCATTGCAACTTCCCCTTGTTTCTTGTGAAGGTTTTTCTGTGATTCTGCTGTGATTAAAAAAAAAAATAACATTCTTGCAGGTTAAACCCCGTTTATCATGTGGCATATTACATTTTAAAAGGAAAAAGGACTACGGAATAGATAATATAAGGAAGAGATCATTTCATAGACATATGAGGGAAATACACTTAAATTACGTAGATCTGATACTGAGCGACGTAGTTCATATGGAATTGTTAGAACCTAACAGTAAAAATGTTGTTTGAAATGATAAACATATGACAAACCCAATTTTTTTAACATTGTTAAAATTTGTTGTATAAATGTTGAACATAGCATTTAATGACTATACACGCTACTTCCCTCGACTAACAATCCAATCAAATTTGTTTTTTTCCATTCCTGTACATTGTAAGATAGAAATTTACCCTCGGACAGTAGTGAATAAGAATTGACCAATTATAACATTCTTTTCTCTGAATCGCCTTTTAATACACCGTTTTATCAATTTTGAAAAATAATCTTGGCCGATCTACTTCTCACAACCCCTCATCCCCACCCATGGATTCTGATCTTGAGTAAGGCTTTTCATTCATACCCCACACTAGTACTCTTTAGCCAATTATTATTGATTTATAATTTTGTAATGAATATGAAGAGCTCTTATCGATTTTCGGTTTATCAGTTTATTATTTGAGGAATTTCAGATATGAAATACTTGACCTTAGTCTCAATCATTAAATTAGCTAATACTATTTCTTGATTGCGAAAAAGTTAAGAATTGATTTTTATCTTATTATTTAATAATATTCTAAAAGCATTATTCAACCAATGAACATCTTTTAATAATAAATTATTGAAGGTTATTTTCAATACTGAAGTCATAAGGGGGCCTTACACAGTCAATACTATTGAATCGTAATCGAATGTATTGACCGTCTGTGGGATATATGGTAACAATATTATTACATTACAAATGTCAATACCACGAACGATAATATTGCTTCAATATTACTGACACAATAAGGTTGCTTCAATATTACTGATTCAATAATATTGATCGTGTAAGATGGGATATAAACATAGCCCTAACCTAATGTCCTGGAGGGGGGGGGGGAGTACGTACCTCTACTAATAAGCCTTCTCCTTCCTCCAAAGAAATCTACTTGTTTTCGCTTTACTATTATTTACCATCCAAGTATAAACGTTTTTTTTAACAAAAAAAAAAATATATAAGAGTTGAAAGAACAAAAATTAATAAAGTTTTGGTAGTAACTACTATTACGATTTTAAGATATTTTACTGAAAAAATTATTTTTTGTGTTTTTTTTTGTACTTCTAAGTATTTTTTTTTTTTACAAATCTGCTCCACCTCCTCCCTATAATACATATCTTCGCAATACCTAAGACAGTTTCTACGAAGTAGGGGAGAATGGTTACGGTTATGCCAGGGTACAGTTGTGACAGCCGTCATATTAGGGAAACCATAAGGAATAGTCGATGGAGAAGAAACGGATGTTTTGCCTGTCCACGGGCAGATTTACGGAGTGGGGGGCTTTCGGGCTGAAGACCCCCCTAAAATGGTAAAATATAACTATGTTTTATGAAAAAAATTATCTTTATAAGTATTATTGTTAGTTTAATTATAGTTGATAGGACTTAAAGGATCACTAAATACCATTTGATATAGGTAGTTAGTTTCTTTCTTTCTCCCGAAGTAATCATCCTAAAATATTTGTGCAAACAAAAATCTTTCGAGCTGAAGTCCCCCCCAAAATTAAATTCTGGGTCCGTTAGTGTTCCTGTCTGAACGTATTTAACAGTATTGCTAACTCATTGCGCGACATTAAAGCTAGTAGAGGCCTTCATGACTATTTAAGAGACAAAAGTAACTATTTTTATTTTATTTATTTGAATAATTGTTGTTATATCTGAACATATAGAGTAATGGACGTTATTCCTCGTTATTAAACATTAGTTGTTAATTATCAGTAATTACTTTGTACGTGAGTGATTTTATACTGTCGATTTTTTTTTTTTTTGAGTTGGGTACGGTTATGATATATCTTCTGGGTAAGGTTGTGACACAAGTAATTTATTATTATTATTTTTTTTTTGGTTTTTAGATACCCAGAAAATGCTCGTGGAAGACCAAAAGTTGATTCTTAAACAAATGTTAATTCCTCATTTGTTATAAGCGATTAAGTTATTCTATTATGTTATATAATACAATAAAAGTTATTTGTACTATTTTGGTGTATTTTTGAAACTGTCACTGCCGATCCCAGGCACTGTCAAAATCGTCCTTGGGGTGGGTTAGGTTGTGGCATGTTTCCCCCTTTTTTTTTTCTAATTTCCTCCTATGAGATAACCATGGTAGTTACGGACACAATTTTATTTTTTATACGCAGACAAGTGTACACTCTACTATAAAATATACATTTCTTCCATCTAATTGGTGTAGTAACAAAATTGAAGAACATTAAATTAAAATTGACACAACCGTACACAGTCTCACCTACTTTAGAGAACCTTTTATCAGGCTGGCCTAACCAGAGAATTGAAGTGGAAGTTTTTATTTGCGATCTCAAAAAATATTCAAGGTTATTATTATATTTTTTAACAAATCTACATTGTTGCTGCTGTTTTTTTTAATTTTCTAGGCAAAACCTTAATTTTTTTTTTAAAACTACCCCTGATTTTTTAATATAAATTTTTGATCAATAATTACTGGGCTTGGCCTTTACCGAATATTAGTAAGATTTTTTTTTTCAATAGCCATAAAGTTCATAAAAAATTAATTTTCTTGTTTATTTGAAAACGGATGAATGAAAATGAAAGTATATATACATTCATAAATATACAGAAAATTGATGCCACTATCGGCCCAAACAATTATCTTTGAAGATGGAATAATTATTGTAGCTAATATTCAAGAGAACCTGCAACAAGCAGTAGATAAAATATGGGAGAAAATAAATAACTATAAATATAAACGAAAGTAAAAACATACAAGCTGGACAAGAAGACAAAATGCATGCCACCAGCAATGTATAATTCTTGATTGTGTACAGAAGTATTTGAGCAAGATCGTAAGCAGTGATGCTCAAAACTATGAATATAAAGTGATGAGAATGGAACACTTTACTAATTTATATTATGCAGGTGTAATATTATTATCAGCTTTTCGAGGAAAATAGAGCAAATCTGACTTTTAAAACAAGGACCCTTTTTTAAAATCCTTTGTCGTTTTAATTACCATAAGATGGGGTAACTTTGGGACTGGGTGGGTAACTTTGTACAGAAGGTAAAATTTAGTTTATGGTGATTCCGTGGTGGATATACTGTGTTGGTTAAGTCTGCAAAAACGTGCTTTGTGTAGGTTTGTACTGCGCAACTACCTTGCGGCATTTTGAGAATCCTAGTTCACTGCACTCGTTATATAGGTAGGTTTCATTTATTTCCATGATTTTTTTTTTAATTCTTGTTTCCATGAAACTTTCGCTTGTGCCTCAAGAATAGTGTGCCGCAAGCTAGTAGCGCGCAGTACATGCGCTGTCCATGCTAACTAGTGTTGTCCAAAATCGGTCTTGGTCTTGCAAAGTGCAAGACCAAGACCAAGGCCCGCCTAACTGTTGCAAGACCAAGACCAGGACTGGTAAAAAAAATCGATTTTTTAAATATAAATTAAGGCAAAATAGTAACTAATACTTGACAATCTTAGTTACTATATGTTAATAATTGGTATAACCAATATACTTTTGCATTTAACTCCTCTATTTTTCCATTCTGGCTTAATTAGGTTTCTCCTATCTAAAAAATTACAGTAATCTCTCTATAGCAATAAGCTAATAAGTAACTGCAAGACTGTTGCGAGACTCTTGCGCAAGACCAAGACCATGACCAAGGCTGGGTTTGCAAGACCAAGACTCATCTCGGTCTCGCATTTGGGCAACACTGATGCTAACTGAACCAACATAGTAAATCCCACTACGGAATCACCATAAACTAAATTTTACCCGCTGTCCCAAAGTTACCCTATCCTACGGTAATGAATTGGTTTGACTGGAAATTATTAAAACTTAGATTTTTGAATTTTAAAGAAGAAACAAGGATTTCTCAGTTATACACTGGAAAGATGACCTAACACCTTACAGCTTGATGGAGTTTATGTGGATTGTGGGAAATTTTTTTAAAATGTTGAATAAACGATGACTAACACTTGAATTAGTGAGCACTGGTAAATTAATTTAAATCTATTTTATAGGTAGATAATGGATTTTATGCAGGATAAATTTTTATATGTTTTTTCTTATAAATACCCCAGTGAATGAAATATAGGCTTTATAAAAATAAAAAAAAGACATATTTTGATTGTTTGAGTATTTAAATGAGATCATTCGCAGAAACAAATATGGATAAATGAAAAAAAAAAAATTTTTTTTGTCCATTTTGGGGGGCTTCAGCCCGAAAGCTCCCCTCCCTTCCGCGAATTCACCAATGCTATATATCTTAAGCTTTGTAAAGACCTAATTTATTATAGCTATTATTATTTTTTTTTTTAGTCTATATCTGTTTACAGCTGCCCATTGCATGAAGAACCATAAAAACAATAATTGGAATAAAGACAATTTTGAAATTTACTTCGGAAACCACAATGTAGAAGATCTGAAAAGTTCAAGCACCAGAGTTCGTCAGGTAACAATTTTGCATCAAATAATTCATTTTATGTCACTTATCGATCATACAAAAAGTTGGACGTTGACGTGGTATTACATGTAGCATTAAATCATTTTTTTTTCTTGGGTTCCTGGTTTTGTTTTCCCCCTATTTTGTTACAGAGATATGGAGCTTGGTTGTTGAATTATTATTTATTTTACAAAAAAAAAAAAAATTTTAAAGTTAATAACGACTATCCAAAAAAATTATAGAGAATATAATTTATAAATATATACAGATGCAGCGTATGAAAACAAATAGGTTGTTATTTGACTGGATTGTTGATGACGTTCAATCTATTGAGTTTAATTATTTTAAAGTTAATTAAGAAAATATGTTTAATTCACTATAGCAGTTGACGGAGAGCAAGTGAGGGATGATTGTTTACAGCATCCATGCATGTTCGACGAATGACGCAGAAAATGATTCATTAGTATTAGTAATAGAATTATCATTGGTTATAAACAAATGAAGACTAATAGGCTGGAATGATTTAACATAAACTGGTGCCTAATCCGAAGACGTTAATTATAACGATTAATGAATTATACAAATGGACTATGAAAATAAATTACAATAATCAAATTTGATAGTTTAGTTAAGTTAGTTATATTAATTGAAAGCTCGTTTCTATAATGAAAAAAAAACTGAACTATTAAAGATTAAAGCAGATTTAAAATACAATAATTCGTTGCACAAGAAGCAATTAGAATGAATGAATGAATTCTATATTTTTTAATTAATATATACAATAAAGTACTATACAAATATAGAAATAAATCGGAGAAATATTCTTTTTTCATAAATAAAATAAACTAGATATATAAATTGTGAAAAAAAAAAAAAACAGAAAAGGAAAAATAACTGTATAACAATATAAATAAAAAGTATTGACTTTGAAAATATATTTTTAAAAAATCAAATAAATATACAATAAAGGAATTTTAGAAAAAAAAAAGAAAAAGACAATAAATGTAATGTTGACGGATTTTACGAGGAAAAATCAAATCATTTATATTTCATCATCATCATCATGTATGGCACAACATCCCGTCACCGAGACTGGGCCTCCTCCAAGAGCCTCCGCCAGTTGGCTCTGTCTTCTGCTGCAGCTCTCCAGTTCCGCACACCAAGCAGGGTTCTCGCATCATAGGCCACGTTGTCCAACCATCTCGTCCTCGGCCTTCCTACCCGTCTTACGAGGTGCAGCTCCTCCATCATTATTTTTTTTGGTATTTCAAGGGTGCTCATTCTGGCCACATGCCCTGCCCACCTTAGTCTGGCCAGTTTAATATACGTGACTACGTCGATGTCTGCATAGAGAGAACTGAGCTCCCTATTTTTTCTTTTCCTCCAGACATCACCCTCCTTTACTGGACCATAAATCCTTCTGAGGACTCCTCGCTCAAAGACACTCAGCTTCATCTCATCCCTTTTATTCATCGTCCAAGCCTCTGAGCCATATGTCAAAACAGGCCGAACAAGGGTCTTGTATATGATCAGCTTGGTCTTCTTTGAGAGGTACCTACTTCTTAAGTGTCGGCCAAGTCCAAAGACACATCTATTGGCAGCCGTGATCCTTCTTTGTATTTCTTGAGCCATGTCATTCTTGCTATTAATTTCAGACCCAAGGTATATAAAACTTTTCACTCTCTCAAACTTAAAAGAACCTACCTCAAATGGAGAGTTCAGATCCACCTCACCGCCAACTCTCATATACTTAGTTTTCCTCTCGTTGACTTCTAGACCAAGTGGTCTTGCAGCTGCTTCAAGGCTTATAAACGCTTCTCTGAGAGCCCGTTCAGACCTACCTATTATGTCAATATCATCAGCAAAACCAAGAAGCTGTGTCAAGCGATTGAAGATTATATCTTTGGTCTGAATACCGGAGTCTCTTACAGCTTTCTCCTCTGCCAAATTGAACAATAGACAGGCGAGGGCATCCCCTTGCCTAACCCCACTGCTCACTTTAAACTCTTCGGAGTCGTCAGAACCGACGCGTATTCTGCATCTCGAGCTGTCCATGGTCATCTTGATTAGGCGTACGAGCTTCTGAGGGATGCTTAGCTCCTCCAAGGCACAGTATAGTTGCGTTCTATCAACGCTGTCGTATGCTGCTTTAAAGTCCAGGAATAAATGGTGGGTGACTACCTTACGCTCCATAGTCTTTTCTAGGATCATCCTCAGAGAGAACAGTTGATCAGTCGTTGAGCGTCCTCTTCGAAATCCAGCCTGATATTTCCCCAGTTCCTTTTCAGAATACGGGAGGATCCTCTCAAAAAGAATGTTAGAGAGCAGCTTATAAGCACACGAAAGGAGTGAGATTCCTCGATAGTTAGCGCATTCTGTTTGATCTCCTTTCTTATGTATTGGGCAGATAATGGCTGTTGCCCATTCCGTAGGCATAGCTTCCTTCTCCCAGATGGTCAGCATTAAATCATGCAGAGCTTTCTTGAGTTCTTCACCTCCACATTTCAACAGCTCTGACTGGATTCCGTCCGGGCCTGGCGCCTTTCCATTTTTCAATTTCCTCAGGGCGTTTTCCATTTCCTCCTCATCCGGGGGTTCAATAGAATTCAGGGAGTCTTCCTTCATTACACCTACTTCTCCAGGCACCGTTCCTCTGTTTAATGCGCCTTTGAAATGTTGTACCCATCTCCTTAGTACCTCATCTTTGTGGCTTAAAAGAGTTCCATTTGTGTCTTTGCATGCCGTCACTCTGGGCCTAAAAGCTGCCCTACCCTCGTTTATTCTCTGAAAGAACAGGCGACTTTCATTTTGGCCTCGCAATGCCTCTGTGTCCTCCATGTTCTTATTTTCCCAAGCTCTTCTCTTTCCGCGGAATAATCTCTTCTCTTCGCGTCTTTTTCTTCTATATGTTTCTTGGGAGAGCCTTGTGGGACGCTGAACCTTCTTTCTGTAGGCTTCATATTTTTTTTTAAAAATTCCATATATTAAATTTGGCATTCACATCTGTTCTTTTTTTTATTTAGCAATCAAGTTCATCATAGAATTTAGGAGAAATATTACCTTGTCCATGAGAGAAATTTTAATAATTATATTATCTAATTTATTCATATTTAAAATCGATTGTAATAGGCATAGAAAAGATCTTAACTAGTTTTTTAATTGATTACTTTCATTGATGCATCTACTACGATCGATTTCTCACAAGATTTCAATTTTAAAATTTTCTCCTACCAAATGAATAATAATTTATTCACAGTTATTCGCCAGCACTGGTATTATTAGGTATATTCAAACAGATTGATTTGGTAATTTTCTCTAATTTGAGTGACAAAAATTGAAAAAAAATAATAATTTTACACGTATGCAGGCTATACGGAGTCAATTGTCAAAACGTTAAGCTTTGAATATATCCAAATTCACAAGAATACATTTAAATAAATAAAAAAGATCATTAGACTTAAATCGAAATTGTATTACCAGGTTTCAATTGCATTCTACCATACCTTGATGCACTCGAATAAATATCGAATGATCATTTTATTCATGATCGTCTGAATCATCAAAATAAATTATTTAAATTTTAAAATCAGTAATATTATTCCCTTTATGAACATTAAGGGAGCTTGTTCTGCGTGTGAAAACGTTTGTCAACAATCCCAGCTGAAAAAGAATTTAGATCTACTTCCATCAAAACTAAGAAGACGTGAACATTTTTTTTTAGCGACCTTTCCGGTAAATTTTCGAATCGTCTATATTTAAATTATTAATGGCATAATACCTCTTGTAAAACCTGAATAGTAATTTCATAATTCATTTCAATATTGCACAATTATTTCAAGTATTGTAGTATATTACTGAATACATATTATATTAAATAACACTGTTTTGCGTCAAAATTTTTCCATTAACAGAAATGTTGTTTTTATTTTGTTTTGAGGTGTCCTGAACAACAATTGAAAGGCATGAAATCAGGCACCGTTTTATGTCAAATTTGTGTTGTAGGTACAAAATGAGGTGTTTTTCGACATCAAGGGCATTTTATTTATCATTTAAAGCTTCTACAAAACATGAAAAATTTTTTTTTTAAATCTATTACAACATTTTTTATGCTTAAAGAATTTTATTGGCCACATACCCGCATTTAGTGTTGTCGAAAATCGTCTTGGTCTTGCACTTTGCCACACCACCTGTCTGTTGCTAGACTAAAACCAAGGCTGGTAAAAAAAATCGATTTTTTAAATAAAAATTAAGGCAAAATAGTTACTAATACTCGACAATTTTAGTTACTATATGTTAACAATTGGTATAACCAATATACTTTTGCATTTAACTCCTCTAATTTTTCATTCGGGATTAATTAGGTTTCTCATATCTGAAAAATGACTGTAATATCTCTTTAGTAATAAGCTAATAGGCAACTGCAAGACTGTTACGAGAGTCTTGCTCAAGACCAAGACCTAGACCAAGACTGAGTTTGCAAGACCAAGACTCGTCTCGGTCTCGCATTTGGGCAACACTACCCGCGCTCTATTTAAGGACTTGGAATTCAAAGAAAAATTAAATCAAAATAAAAAAAGAGCTTGTTCTGCGTTTGAAAACGTGTGTCAACAAATTTCGGACAACGAAAGAGCTACAAATTACAAAGATATTGTTAAAGAATTGCTTTTATCATATAAGGCCACGGATTACGTACATATCATTAGAAATTAATTTAAGTAGAGCCATATCGAAGTTATGACAACTTTTATGATTTTTTAAAAAAAAATTAAAGCCTTGACGAAAATTTGAGTTAAAAATTTTTTATTTTTCGATTGCAATGAAAATTCGTATTTGATGGTTTGTTGAGATGCGAAATAAGGATCTCAACTTCGTTCCCCATTGAAACAATATTTGAACCCCACTTTGGCCGTTACAAATTGTTTCATTTCGGAGATAATTCTTTTCGATTTCGATGTTTTTTTTTGCTTTTTTTTATCATTTTGTAGGAAATCAAGAAAGCTTTCAAATAA